AGGGGTTCAAGAAAAGCTTGGTCACTAAATGTTATAGAATAGCGTGTTAGAGATCTTACAAAAGTGACAACATACTTGTAGTAGTATTACACAAAGGCACACAATGAAAACCTTGGCAAATTTATTCCGTTGTGACTCAGAGTTTCATGGCTGAACCAATCATCAGACAACGATAATGGAATAGGAGGCAGCGCTGGTATATCTAAGTGGAGAGAGGTGTGATAATACGATAGCGAGAGGAGTAATCGCGTGAATTTAGAAAAGCGATCCTGTCAGCTTTTCTATTATTGTGTTCACATGGCAAGAAAAACGACACCGCTATGCTACGTAAGTTTCTACGTAAGGTGCTCGGTATTTCACTTAGGCTACGGAAGTCTCTACGTAAGATGCTCGGTATTAGATCTACCAACGGGTGGTAGCCGCGTGCTGTGCACGTGTACGGCAGCCATTGTGCATGTGTTGCATGCAGTGCAGTGCATGCAGTCCGTGTTCGGATGTGCATGCGCGAGGAACTTCCTCCTTTGGAACTGCTTCTTGTATGAGCTGTTTCGGATATTTCGTCTCCTGGCCTGGCTCATTTCTGGCTTATTTCGTTTCTGCGCTACTGAGACCTCCTTTCGCGGAATATTACTCAATGACAGGTGAGTTGACCAGTTCCCTTTGATTCATTTGCTTGTGTTGACTCTTTCATTTACGAAAAGTGTGCTCATTTTGAGCGGAATGCAATAAATAATGGAACAGCTGACAGGATCTCTTTTCTAAATTTAGCTTTTCCGCTGCCGAGGTCTCCTTTTACGGAATACTCGATGACAGGTGATCCCTGAGTTGAAACCGGTCACCTTCGATTCATTTGCTTATGGTCACCCTTTCATTTACGGAAACGTTTGCTGATTTTATTCGGATTTAGATCCATTTTTATCTCTTTGTCCTTGTCTACAGTGTGCGAAGAACGCGAGTTCACCTTCTTGACGGTAAGGCTTATGTTAGATGTGTTGTCGAAATACTCATATTCATTGTTCATTGGTACGTTACAAGTAAGGCACTGGTTAATGGCATACTATCGTTGGCAGTTCCCAATCTGGAGGGAGAGGTTCAAGGACCCATTGACCGAGTTTGCAAAATAAATTCGCATATCAGGGAAAATCTCCATTGTGGAGAGGTTCAGTAAACTTGTTTGCTTCATACGAAACAAGTCAAAGGGTGCAGTCTCGTCTCCTCAAGATCTCGTACTTGTATGATTGGATTTGTTTACTCGAGTCTGGGCTGTTTGATTTATTATTTTGTGAGTTCCGCCGAGATTGCACTGCCCCAAATAAAGTTTCCGCCAAAGCAAGAATTACGATCTGCAAACTGTTTGTAGTACCTGCAAGAATCTGCTTTACATGTATCGTACTTTCTCTGTTGCTGTTTCAGTTGCCGTCATGTTGCTAAAGAAACGTTCAGTAGAGAGGTTCTGCAAAACGAAAATTCGAACGAAGTTTCCCGACAGTCCTTGCGAAAGTGTGTACGAATTTTTGCACGAACTTTGCGTTCTGCACATTTTCGTAGTTTGCGCGGGCCAAGTGCCCGTACGCCATGACCCGATATTACGAAAGTGTGTACGACTGTTAATTTCGCGTTCCCTGCAAGTTTCGCGTCCAAAGTTGCGAAAGCTCGCGCGAAGTTTCGCACTTCATGACGTGGAACGAAAGTTTGTACGCATTTTCGTTTTGCAGAACCTCTCTTGTGTGACTCATTTGTTTCATACGAGACGAGTCAATGAGTTGGTGTGGCTTAGAATCTTTCGCTGTAGAAGAAATCTATTCGTATGTCTATTGGAGAAATAATTGTATTCACTGGTTATAAAATAGGTTAAGACAAACTCACAGAATAAATACCATCGGTCCCTTGGTGTTCGTCCTAAAGAGGTTCGACTGGATATCATTCAAACTCACCAAAAGATGTGTAAGATTTTATTATTATGGAGTGCCTTGGTTATTTCTCAGTACCTCCAACCATAGCCTTGCCCCTTTTATCCTCAGGATCAGTGTAGTTGTTGGAACGAGGTGTCCGACTCGACAATGTATTTGTTTACATTTTAATACATGTTTATTGTTCCTCCTTTGCTGTGTTGTTTTAGAAAATCGTGGACTAACAGTTTGCAGTCATTGTACTACCTCCAAAAGTTGTATCGGCATCAACAGGGTTACGATTTCAGTGCAATATGATGCAGGATGACCTTATCACGATAACCCATGATTATAAACCATTATAAACACAGAATCAACGAAAACATCTGCGACACGCACCTGGTTACATTTCTCAAATAAATCTGAAATATCTGAAAAGCAAGACAATTTTATGACAGAGTCATGAAATTCTGCTACAGCAACATGCACAGAATGACCTCCGTATAAAATATCACCACGGTCCACCACTACTCACATGTTTCCCCGCAGAAGAACATGCTAGTGCCATCAGTGCGTATAATACGGTATTGATATGATGTGAAGGCCATCATTTACATATTGATATAGGGCATTCCATTGATTGGTGACAGAAAAAACAAAAGAAATTATAGCAATAAAAACTGCTTTATGGCAGTTTTCTAAAAAAGGTTATTGTGTTCTAGTCCATGGACCCCGTCTAAAAAGTAAGAAATTAACGGAATGTGATAGCTGAAAATTAAAATTTCACACAAAACCTCACAATAATTACACACAGAATGAAAAGCTACATGAAGAAGACCTTTTCCCCATCGTGATCCTCTTTCCTATGCATGCATGTTGCCAATTGTTGGTGCAGTACAAGTCTGGTGTTGAAAGCAGCATTTCAAGTGTTGTGATTATTGTGAGGTTTGTGTGAAATTTTAATTTTCAGCTATCACATTTCGTTAATTTCTTACTTTTTAGACGGGGTCCATGGACTAGAACACAATAACCTTTTTTAGAAAACTGCCATAAAGCAGTTTTTATTGCTATATGTATACAGGGCTGGGCTATTTACATGTACTACTAGAGAGGTTCTGCAAAACGAAAATGTGTACGAACTTTCGCTCTACGTCACAAAGTGAGAAACTTCGCACGAACTTTCGCAACTTTGGACGCGAAACTTGCAGGGAACGCGAAATGAACTAACTTTCGTAGGAAGTTTCGTGAGATCGGATCATGGCGTACGTGCACTTGGCGCATGCAAACTACGAAAATGTGCAGAACACAAAGTTCGTGCGAAAATTCGTACACATTTTCGCAAGGCCTGTCGCGAAACTTCGTTCGAATTTTCGTTGTGCAGAACTTCTCTTGTCTGCTGGTACCACTATATCATCACACTCTTTGATCCTCTTCACATCGTTCTTCATCTGCTCTTGAAGCTGGTTAGAAGCCCGGCGGAACGTAATATGCTCAACCATATTATACATTGCGTTCTCGAATGCCTTGAGTTCTTCAATCTGGGGTGGGCAGTTCACGGTTTTTGAAGCCGTACATGTTCATCACATTAAAGGATCATAAAGCCGACTTCCATGACAAGCTGCAATGCAGATTGATTAACCCCGCCAAGTCCGAAATAGGCGTCGTAAGCAAATCCATACTGGATGGTGTTATCGGCCCCATGCGGAGCAGCGTATGTGAGAATCTGTGGCAGAACACGCAAGCCGTCATCGAGTGGTTCAACGGCATTGAAGACAAGCCGCGGTACACCTTCGTTGTGTTCGACATCGTCGAGTTTTACCCCAGCATAACGAAAGACCTTCTGCTGGATGCCCTGTCGTACGCCGGGACGCACGTTCCAATGTCCAAGAAGGACATTGAGACGATACTGCACGCACGGAAGTCATTGTTGTTCGACGGCGGCAAAGCATGGATGAAGAAGGAGAAGTACGGGTAATTCGACGTAACAATGGGGTCGTACGACGGCGCAGAAGCCTGCGAGCTTGTTGGGGCTTTAATCCTCAGCAAACTCCGTCCACTCCTGGTCGACCAGTGCGTGGGTCTTTACCGTGACGATGGTCTAGCGATAACGAAGGACGCCACGGGTCATGATGCCGACCGCACGCGCAAACAGATCATACAGATATTCCAAGCACACGGCTTAAAAATAACAATCGAAACCAACAAGAAGATCGTCGACTACTTGGATGTGACCCTGAATCTCGCCACCGGAACATTCCAACCATACAGGAAACCGAATAGTACACCCCTGTACGTCGATGTGCGGTCCTGTCACCCACCGCAGGTGCTGAGACAAATACCCATTCGCATCAACAAGAGGCTGCAACGTATCTCATGCAATGAGGAAGTGTTCAGCGATGCTAAAACGTTATACGAGGACGCACTGGCCTCAAGTGGCCACCCGAAAACAAGTGGCCACCCGAAAACCATGACATACAAGGATAAACCGAGCAACAAGAAGAAAAAAGCGAAGAAAGGGCGCAGCCGCGACGTCATCTGGTTTAACCCGCCGTACAGTACCACGGTCAAAACCAACGTTGGCGCAAAGTTTCTATACCTCGTCAAGAAACACTTCCCTGAAGGGTCGGCGCTACACAAGGTGTTTAACAAGAACACAACAAAAGTAAGCTACAGCTGCATGAAGAACGTAGCGTCGATTATCAAAGGGCACAATGCTGCAAAACTTCACTCGCAACCGCCAGTTGTGCCATGCAATTGTCGGGTCAAGGCGTCGTGCCCCCTCAACGGTGACTGTCAGTCTTCCGACGTCGTGTACGAGGCGCATGTAGCATCCAACGAAGTCAAGACCTACGTCGGCATGACTGCTACCACATTCAAGCAGCGCTACAACAAACACACTTCGGACTTCCGCCATGAAAAGTACGCCGCATCAACTAAGTTGTCCAAGCACATCTGGGATCTGAAAAACGAGAACCGGGGATTCGACATCAGATGGGAGATCAAGGATAGAGCACCTTCGTACAGTAACATCAGCAAGAAGTGTGGCCTATGCTTAACCGAAAAGTTCCACATCCTGAAAGCTTCAAAAGCTACCTCCCTAAACAAGAGAAGTGAGCTGGTATCTAAATGCCCTCACCACATTGAGGAATGAGAACTCTCTCAGCTGACTCGGCAGGAATACGTCAATGATGGTAGTGAACAGAGTTGCCAGTGTTGTTCTGTTGCGTGGCAGGAAAGTATATTTAAGGACCTGGAAAAGAAAACCGAGAAGATGTAACGTGGATACAGTTTAGAAACTCGTATTGTTCACATTCCAGTCCACCCATACACCGAGCAGCACGCTTCACATTGCCAAGTTAAACCATACTACACAAAGTGGCTATCGTCCATGTTGACCTGTGCTAGCAGAAATTAAAATTGAAATTCATGTCCATGGTTAACTACGTGAAGAGTTTCAATTTGCTCGTGGCTTTGCAAAACAAAACTATTGGATTTCAGGCAAGTCTGTTTTACTGAGGTTTTCTGATTTTATTTTGAGCTTCAACGCCATTGTTGTTATATACATTCAAACCATAGCCTACACCTGTCCACGCCCTGGCCCAGCACTGCACAAGAAGAACAAAATAACAAGTTAATTAAAGCTTATGGCTGATTCATATGGTGGTAAATACACACCTGGCAATAGGGCGGTAAGAACATGCCTGCCCACAAACGCTTTCTAAGCTGCAAAGTTATCATCATCTTGTAGTTCTTTGGTCCTTTTTGCTTTTACCATAGAAAGAAAGAAATTACATAATTATGACAAGTACTCAATCTGCGGACAGAACTGTTTCGTCCTTTGTGGACTCGTCAGCGCAACACAGAGGAAATGAGGCCGAACCTGATAGCAATGGAAATAAAAATTTCCAATCAGGCCCGAACAAAAAGCGAGGAATTATGACAAGTATGTAGTATTTGCTTATGGTGTTTGTAGTAATTGTACTGAGTTCACAACTCACTCCATGTATTGCGTTAATTAAAGCTACTTATAAAGTTAATACATTGTGCTGCAATATTTAACAACTGAATATTTTCATTCCCTTCTCATCATGGCCATTTGCTTGTGTTTTGCTAGTGTCATGTGAAGTAAGCCCTCTCAGGCTACAGCTACTGCACACTAGTATCCTACATTTTCAATAAACCTGGAATATTGCCCATACCTCTGGTATTGCCAACCACTTTGTTTGCAGCCAGGATTGAACAGCCTTGTGGTCCTGCCACACCTGTGACTCCTGCAGCTTGAGCTCAAGCTGGCGATACCCACTGTCAACTGGGCCTTTCTGTGCTGGTGGCTCATAGGCCAAGTCTCGAAGCATGTCCAAGAGGCTGCTCGCTTCATCTTGCGACAAGCCATGTTTGCTGTCTTTCACCCACCTGCAATTGATGCAACAAAAAGTACATCACACCTCATAATAGAGAAGCAACCACCACCCGTGAGACACACACACACGCGCGCACACGCGCTCAGATATGAGACGAGGTGCAGTGCAGGTACGGTATGGCAACATTGCAAAGAAGAGACGGATATGAATGGAGAGTGCATATGACAACAGGCTCGTCACGCTCCCCCCCCCCCTCCCCCTCATTTAGTGGAACGCTTCGGTAAAGACTTCAGTGGAGAAAGACACAGGTGAAAAAGGCTTTAATACTAAAGTGGGGCTATATATAATTATAAGAATCTAGCAAAATCCATATTGCATTCACCTACATTCACATACTGAAGTTACCCTGCCTGAGCCAGCACTGTTCTCTATGCAAGTCACAGAGCATCACTCGAACACCGGGAGACACACGACGAATGGCTAACATTTCAGCCTCCGAATAGTCAGTCATGAAGAATTCAGGAGACCAATTCGGATTCTTTCCACGAATAATCTAGACCACAACAAAATCATAGATTTTTTAACACACCCATCATTACCATTTAATTTAACCAGATAATCTTGACAACTTACACTGGGATGATGTGGCAACTAGCAAATAGTGGTCACTGGTGAAACAATTATACCGAATACTGAGCCAGTAATAAAATTTAATGTAAAAAAGAGAAGAAAACACATGAGAACGAGTTATGCAGCAACTATCCACGAGTGTAACAAGACTGTATCATCTTGTTACAGTCCTGGATAGTTGCTGCATAACATAACTCTCGTGTGTTTTCTTCTCTCTTTTACATTCGAGTACTCGCTTGGGTTTTTTCTAAAATAATCGTACTCGGAATAAATCAGAGTACTCGTTCATGGCACATGCATTGACCATTGCAATCTGCAGTTTCAGAGCAGCAGTCAGTAGATATTGATGTGCAGACTGTGTGGTGAACATTTGTACATGAGTAGAGAGAGCCCAAATGACCCACCAATCAATATACATGTACAGTGCCTGAGAAAAATGACTGCCACATGGTTCAATCGGGGTCGTATAATTTGATTTTTTAAGGCCCTTGGTGTGGAATTTTTAGGAGATAAAGAACACTCAAATACTCGAAAAATCGATCGGAGAAAATCAGAGTACTCAAACTCGGGATCTCAACGCCAACTTTCACCCCCACTAATAAATCATTTTTTTAAAGTTCTGAACTAACTAACTTACCTCCAGAGCCTCCGCAATGTCACCTTCGCACTCACTCTGAATGACAAACTCAGCAACTACCATATACTTGGTTGCCGTTGGCACGACCAGAAAGATCAAAGCTACATTGTACTTTGTCGTTCTGTATGTTGCATCAATTAACAAAAGCTGGCCGTACTTAGAGAGCAGCCGCTTTTGCCATTGTTCCTGGTGGATAAATAGGAGGCGTGTGCTGAGTTGGTTGTCCAGAGTGGGTAGGGCTTCATCGTAGTCCCCACCTCCACTCCCTACAGGAAACAATAGCAAACATAGGAAGAAAGCTCACGACCCAGGCAGATGGTAGGTGTACCGCCACTCTAAAGGATCATTACGTTGTAGTAGAATTGCACAGATGCAGCTTTGAATATACATGTACATGTAATCCATGTACTCCAATGAAGGCATAGGTCGTGAATATTGGATGCCATGGCAAAATGTACATAACACAATTACCTAGGAAGACGTTCGGCATCTGCTGCCGTTCTTCTTCTTCTCGAAGTCCGTCGGATCCTTCTTTTGCTTCAACCTATGGACGAAATGTGATATCCGGGTGTCTCGCATGTTCTCTCCAACTTTCCACCAAAGGACAGATAAATCACATTACCAATATAGAGTATTTTTATGATGGTTTAATAGATCGCGGTCTTTAATACTGGATACCTGTAGAAGAAGGGCTACGAGGGAGAAAAGCCACAAGGTCAATTGTTACAAAGAAAGTAAAAGGGATAACTTACTTTCAGAAAAATAATATGAAAGTATGGTTCATGTCCATGGTGATGCATACATGAATCACATTTGATGCAACAGTGGGTTCAAATCCTGCTTGGAACAGGACGGATTACTTCGTTGATATGGGCCAGTTATAAAATCCCTTCCGGAGACATAGAATGCAGCCACCACATTATAGTTGCATCTTCATAGTACCTTCATTCCAAGCTCTAATTGATCCACAACTGACATTTGAAGAGAGCGCAAAGAAGAAAACACGTGCCAGCGTACATCCTTGGCGTGAGGATGGTATGCACGGGACAAGCCTACTGTGCTCTCCATTTTCAAGACGTTGGATATGTCACGGGCTTCGTAAACCAGCTACCACGCACTCTTTAATGCGAGCTATAACAGAAGGGTGTACCCTTTGGCTTAGTTGTGTTGTGAGGCTGCCTTGCCAAGCATGGTGGTGACATCGTGACCAGTGTGACACTGACCAGCACTCAAAGGATACTGGAGAAGGAATCTATGAGGAGAGAGCAGAAAAAGCACACATCATTATTATGTGAGGTATTCAAAGACAGTGTCCAGACTCCCAGAACGTGGTTCTGAAAGTTTCATCATCAGTGCAAATAATGTATTCATTGCAGCTACTAGCAACGTTAGTAAAGCAGTAAAAACAGACAGGATCTGCAGTTGACTTCGCTACTAACGACTGCGGATATAACAACAAGTTGTGAATAATGACAGAATTTCCATAACAGTCAGCTCATCGGTCAATTTCCATAACTGTAATACATAAATATAATGAGACTTCGGATATAAGGACTCTTCACGAATAAGGACACTTTTCTGATGCCCCGCCGAGTGTCGCTATACGCAAAGTAGTGTGTACATGTACAGTGCGTATGGGTTATAGCGTGGTCATGTGAAAGAATAATTCTACTGCCTACTACAGTACGAGAATGAACTCTCACATGTTTTCATAATCATAACATGGATTTCATGTGCACATTTATTCTTACAAGCAATTTTACCGTACAGTAGAATATATCGGTCCTAAGAATGGACTTTGTGTAGCGAAACATGCCAGATCAGTACAAAGTATATCGCCTGTAGTAATAACATCCGTCCAAAGCAGTTCTGATCTGACTCGCGTTGGGTCGTAGTGCTGCAGGTTCAACTATTGTGGTCATGTAACTCATGTTGCATAGCCACATGGTAATAGGCGATTCAGGCTACGGCCAAATGTGACCACGTTTCTACGACTCAGATGTATTTGATCAGGGATTGTGCATAAAATTTTGAAACATGACTGCATCACCATGGAAATTAAAGTTCAGACGTGATTTTGGTCGTAGTCTGAATCGCCTATAAGCCTATGTGACTGTGACCAGCCGCATGCACATATATAGTCATTGCACAGTAGCACTAACTTGTATGTATGATGATCTTCCTGCCTCCTCGCACATGCACATGACATGTCACACTTGATTTATCGTGTGTAAGAAATATCGGAAATAAGAATAGAAAGTCGTTTTTCAAACACCCACGCTATAACCGATACCTACTGTACATGCATAACGTCTGAAAAAATTGTTGCACTGTCCCTGCTGGGAAAGAAAAGGCACCATAGTTTAGAGTGGTTGATTACTAAGATTAGGCATGTAGTTATGGGCAGGCTCAGTTTCCTTCACCACTCCTAAAACTGCATGTATACAAACATATCACTTGCATTATCAACCTATTTACCTTTCTTCTGTAGCCAACTTCGAAAATCCTTACTGCTTTTGCACTGTTCAATAGCAGCAGTTAATCTCTGAAGTGCCTCTGCTTTCATTCTGGCATTCGCATCCGTTGGCACAGAAAATGATGGAAACTCCAAAACTCGGTGAGTAGTCGCTGTTGCTATGCAGCCTTTCTTTTTTTGAACCTGGACATTATTACAGCAATTGACATGTACAGAAGAGCATGATTTCGCGACTTTGCAGAGTCTGCAGAGAGATGTTATGATTACATAGGGGAAGAGGCCGGACCCTTCCACTAGAACGACATAAAAGCGTCAAAGATGAGTTTGGACGCTTCTTGCAGCTTCATTATATTGTAATGAATAAATATGTTGTGGACTAACAGGCACATCTCAAATTGCAAACTGTTTTTTACAGTTTAGTAACAATTCTGTATTCACTCAACGTTTCAGTCTATGACCATCATCAGGAACGAGGAAATGACGGCTGGGGCCTGTTATAGTCCCTCAATTACTCCTGGGGGTTATGTACTCTTGATTATATCCATACACATTCGCAACACTCTCCAACCGGTCTCTGGGCTACACCAACCACTAAAAGAAAAAAAGCTAAAGTCATCCAAATGTTCGGGCAATCTTCAGGACGACCGTTCGGAGAGTGTTCAAGGGTCATGGCCAGTTAATGAGCGCAGGGATGTGACACAAGGTAGCAATGGCTCCAATATACCTTGAAGAGAGAGCCGCCTCGATATCTTCTCATGGCTGGGATTCGAGGAAGCCTGGTCCGCAGGTGACCGCGTTGCGTCGCTTGTGTCCGTAGGCTACGAAGAAAGAGAACAACAAAAGTCCAGCCAGATGATGGCATGGCACACTACACTACAGAATGATGCACACAGGATACGCAGGGCAAAGCAGCTGATACCATTGTACATTCTTCATTTCGTTTTCCCATCCTTCACGCCACCCCCTCGGTCAGAATCGAACTTAGGCTGTGTTTACATGAGAAATTTCAACCCGGAACTCGACCCGGGTTGAAAGTCTGTACGATAGACAAAAGAGGTGAGCGTTTACATGAAGACAGTTGACCAGGGTCAAATACTGATATGCCGCCAAAAGTCCACTTCTACAGTCCTGTATGGTCACGTGAATCCGTTCGCGCGAAATTTGCATCTGCAGTGCTGTTCAAACCTGGCGCGAGATACGCACAGAAGTACGTTTGTACGATTTTCTTGACCCGGATTGATTTCAACCCACCCCTTGGGGGAGGGTTGATTTCCCCAAGGGGAGGGTTGAAATCAACCCGGGGCGAAATTTCAACCCGGGTCAAGCGCAATGCGTCATGTAAACGCGCCATTCATTTTGTGTACATGGCGGGTTGAAATCTGACCCGGGTTGAAACGCTTCATGTAAACACAGCCTTATTGCTCTGGGGAATAGGTAAATACACACGGAGTAGCGTATGGCATACAAACATGTACAGACAGACTAATAATATAATTTTCATATTATAACCCCCGACGACACCGACCTGTTTAGCTTCATGGCATCTTTCCTTCCCGAACTGACACTCTTGCCGGCCGAGCACGCAGAAGGGGACTCCATGGAAATCAATAGGGACACACATTCGGTGATGCTGCCAGACATGTCGAAGGTCCTTGGCCGCGAGGATATCGATGGCACTGGAAGACAATGAACACAAGGTGACCACATATACAGTCCGCATACTGCTATTTTCGGTTGCGCTCACCTTCCCCTCCTTATGTTATTTCTATAACAATTTCGGTAAGTGTAATTCCGACACACGCGGGAAGTAGTTTTACACTTGCGGTCAATTTCCGGACCACATTGACAACTGCACAACTTGACATCGTAAGGACATTCAGCAGACTACACGTTATAGCTCACCTTCCAAGGAAGCCCTTCATCGTACTCCTGACCACAAAGTTTTCCCGTGGCAATTGCTCCTTTAAAAATGCTTCCAGCTCCTCCCTGGAGGCAAAGATTTTGCTGTCGGAGCATGGCGTGCAGCCCACTTCTTCCTCCACTTCCATCGCCTACTGTCCTTCTCTTACTACAATCAACAGTAGTACTGTACATAATGTACTCTTGCACAATTATTGTAAACAAACAAACACTAGTGGCTAAAATCTGTGACAGGCGAAAATGAGAATGCACGCAGCCAAGACTAGGCCATCATCTCCTTCATCCATCATCCTGGGGACTTTCAAAATTTAATAATAATAACAATTACCCAATGCTGTAGACAGCAAGCAAGCTGACTGTGCGTTTGTAATCTCAACAGCCCTCCGACCTGTGCTTATAATGTTGTGACTGTACTTCCAGCACTAAACTCTGTACTAATAGGAACGTGCAGCACCTGCAGGTCACAATGCCATCAGTGCTAGTTTTAGTGTATTCTGTGGTTTGGATGATTACAAGTTAGTTGCGTCTCTAGTACACATTGCATAATCATAATAATCAGGGTGATAATCAGGGAGTCGTAAAATACCGGTATTTTACGACTCCCTGGTGATAATCCTAGGCTACATACTGTGGTGGGGCCATTGATGGTACGTTCACGAAGATCACCAAGCCTGACAGGTTTGGTGATCTCTTTTGGTGCTATAAACAGTTCTCTGCTGTTTTGCTCTTTGTTTGCGTAGATAGTCGCGGCCTAGTTCACGTTTGTGGATGTAGGTGCACCAGGCTCTGTTGGAGATGCTGCTGTTTTTAATACAGTTCAACTAAGCCAAATTGCTTGGTGGAGAATGGCTCAATTATCGCACATGGACATGTGGGAATGCTGACATTCGCCCGTATGTTGTTGGAGATAGTGCCTTTGGCCTGAGTCCATGTGTAATGAAAATTTACAGTGACCCCAATCTAGCGCCAGCTCAAGCAAGTTTGAACTATGCTCCAATAAGGACACGGCGTGTAGTGTGCTATAGGGAAGTTGAAAGAGAGGTTCCGTGTCGTTGCTGAGAGCAACAGCAAGGATCCAAAGTTAGTAAGCAAGGTCAACATGCTGTGCTGTGCAATGCACAATATCATTGAGCGCAAGGAAACGGCCTACCTTCCTCACTATCCCAACTATGCACCGCAGCCTCTAGTTGCAATGAATCCATCTGCTGCTTCTCTATTTGTGCATGGTCAATGCTCCCCACCTCGCTTACCCCGCACACAGATACACAAACACGCGGATGCACACGGCACACATACGCACATGCACACGACACAAACAGGAAATTATTCATGTAAAATGCCATGCAAAGCAGTGGCCACCGTACTTCAGGAAGTCAGTTGTGGAACAAAATAATTCAACTACAACGTGTAGACAAGCTGACGGCCAAAGCACATTATAGCAAACATGACATTTGCCCAAGGATTGCAGTTTGCAGACCACGCCATGAAAGCAGCGAATACAGAATGTAATATCATACAAAGTGACAAGCAAAGAAGTGGCCACCATACACCAGAGACTTGCAGAAAGTCACATATCCAACAGATAGAAAAGTGAACAGCAATCTGGTACAGCCCACACAAGACAAAGCTGACCTGATACTTGTCCCAGGATCGCAAGTGGCAGATCCTTTTCGATGCATAACATGCAGGTGTACGTTACACGCATGGACAAAATCTGACCGTGTCGCCAGCATACAATGTCATCACATGTATACCCCACAAGTTACACACATGCACAGTACAAGCACAATGAAAGCAATGGAAAAGTACGATGTGGTTGCTGAAGCATCTTCGCACTTCAAATTCAGACTTCAATGTGGTCGTCACGAGATGATATACCTGCAAGATACAAGTGATGCAGAAAGAAAGCAGAAGGTCGTGAGGTAGGCCATGAGACACCACAAACGGGTCACCTACATGTATGTTCAGGGCTAGTGCACTCGCACGCAGAATTATCATAATCGAGCATTTCCCAAACTGAGAAGTGCAAGGAAATCCACTTGCATGCACAGGAGCAATTTTGCCGCTGGTGTGATGCGCAATTCGAGACAATCTGCGATGCTGCGTGCTCACCTCTGATGCCGATTACTTCCTTGCTTAGACCGGCCCGGTCTGCTCTCCCTTCACTCTCTTCTAAATCCTACTTGGAGCAGTAAGGCTGTGTCACTGCTCCTACTAATCATCCAGTTAGGTTGTGGTCATTGTTGTGAAAGCAATATCATCGTCATTGTGGTAATAACATACGTTTTTGCACAGCGGCTGGCGCTAGAACGTGCAGCAAGCAGCACGCTTGTACTTCGGATTTTGCGATTTTTTCGAGGGCAATGGCTTCCTTTTTGCTTTAGCTACCTACGAAGTACGACCAAAAAATCTATGAGAAGTATTTTTGGAGCTGGAGTACGAGTGGGGTTGTCTGATAAGTGCTAGGAGAACCCTCCTTTGTGGCTGTAGAGCGCTAAAACGTGCCCTGTTGGCCGACATATCCGAATTTTTTTCTCCCGGGGGACACCCCCGTTATACCACTCCCAACCGCCCTGTGACGCCCCTGTCATTGTAGCTTACCTGCTGTCTTTCTTGGAGATGCAGTAGCAGCTGAGGACTTGCATACAATCTCTGTTTCAACTGCAACTATTTCCACAATGTTGCCAGGTATTGGTGCGGGCGACACACGCAGATTCTACACACGCAGAAGGAAAGAACACACCATGAACATATACCTGTTACTACATGTACATGTACATGTTGCCACTGTCAAATATTCCACAGGCAGATGGTGGGGATGGAGAGGAGAGCAACATCAGCAACAGCAGAAGCAGCAGCAGCAATAGCAGCAGCAGCAGTACCACACAGCAATTCACCACACCATACCTCAGATTGTATTCCCGGTATGAGCATAAAATGTCCAGTGGCCTTGTCCTCGCGAAACCGGCTTTCAAACTAGTTCAACAGAATCTACAGCGCACGTTGCACAGGAGAATTCATACTCATTCAACAGAATATACAGCATACATTGTACAGGAAAATACTTGTACATTGCAGAGGAGAATACTGGCTTTCATACTCGTTCAACAGAATCTACGGTGTACATTTGACAAGAGAATACAAGGCATAACGATTAAGCAAATCTACGCCAATAGTTATGTATGTCCCTGAAGATAGGCTACTGTAAAACCGGAAAATTTCGGTGGAGATTTATTTTCGGTAACTTCGGTTTTACCCACACATCACACACGACAACTTACCTCCACGGTCGACATGAGCTCCCCAGGATCCCCCAGCTCCTCGGGACACACTCTCACCATCGTCGTGGAAACGTTCAGCTCGGCCAGCAGCCGTCGCAAGCCATCAATCTCATACGAGCTGAGACAGGCCATGTCCGAGAGCAGGCAGGATGGCGGTGATGGAGGTGGCTTGCCGCCTTGTGAGCTGTTCCCATCTCCTGACGAAGCAGCAGCAGCAGCAGCTGCCGCCGTCGCTGGCGACTGGGCTGCAGTGTCATCCGTTGACAGCAGTGGGATCTCGGCGCATGCGGGCGCAGGAGAGAGCTTCGCTGCGTCCGTATCTGTCAGCGATCAGACAATCAGAATATACAAGCCCATATTTAGGCATAGGATAGCTGCCGTGAACAGCACTCAACCGGCAACACCCAACAACAAGAGTACTGTAATTTCACAAATTGTTGGTGTACTTTTTTTTCGGTACGTTTGGTGGGTCTGTTTCATACCTAAAGTTTCAATACACCGAACAGACACTAACACACGTAATCCAATAGGGAGCTGCTTCTCTGTACCTAAAAGTTCTGTTCGCCTAACCTGGCCTTTTGCCCTCATACTGAAAAATAGTGAGCACCTAAAATTTCTGAAATTAGAGTATATAACCCCCGAAGAGTGTGAAACTCCCGCACACCCTGCTGTCACCACAGAATTTCAAGTTGACGTCATTTTTATGATGCAATGTTCCACGCACCAGTGATTATTACGACATGTGTACGGCGAATCAACGCATCACACGTTTTTCTTTGCACTAATCTGTACAAGGTCTAATGGGGCTTTGTCCACCACAGATTCCGAATACGTCTGATAAATTGTGATAATACGTGTACTGTGCAGCCTCTTCCCTTGTAAGAATAAGATCCTGTGCTTTGACACAAGAGTACATGGGGTTATGTAATCTTGCTTGACAGGATAACTACATATTTATGTTTGGATACTCCGAAGTGCAGTGATCCTGTTTTCTATTATTGTTGATGATGGTACAAACATAAATATTGCATATACACATCTTCGATATTGAGCTTTTATTAGAGAGGTTAAGATTCACGTTATTACTGACGTGACGCGAAAGTTCAGCTCGCGTTATTTGGCTCGCACGTCTAAAAACAACGCGAATGACCCGCAGCTCACGTCGAAATCACATCGACAAAGGACATAGCAGCAGAGACAGAATACTTTCTCGTTCTCAGGAAAATAAATTCAACAGCCACGGCCACATGGAAATCGTTTCCCCACATTTTGTATTTTTAAGACACAGAGGGAGTCATAGTGGTACAAAGTGAAGTGTACGGAGATGGAGAGAGAGAGAGACGGAGAGAGAGAGAGGGAGAGAGAGAGAGAGAGAGAGAGAGACACACACACACACACACACACACACAGAGGCATAGAGAGACAGAGACACATACACACACAGTTCCACGGCAACATCGATGAACGACGTATGAGCATAACAAAACAGAAACCTTCATGCACAACTCCAAGCCTTGGAAAGCTCACACAAGGCATTGCCGTGGTAGAGTTGTAGAAGATATCACAGACATGCACAGCACAGCTCACGTACCGCAGTAGTTTCTTCAATGTCCGCCACGGCAAGCTGACCGCTTATGTTGAAACTGTGCAGAAAGTTTCCACCAAACACTAGCGAATCCACAGGAGTGTGAACTGCATGAATCCAGCCTGTCATCGAACAAACATACACACACACACACACACACACATACACACACACACACACACACACACACACACACACACACACACACATACACTACTACTACTACTATGTACAGCTACCCTATCGGGCCACGCCGCTCCCAGAAGCGGGAGACAACGACAAGAAGAGAGAAGAGAAGAGAGAGAAATCGCAAAGTCAACAATATTTGGCATGGCGTTGCAAGTCCTGTGGCCTTGAGAACCGTCTTTCGCAATGCTCGCATTCACACACACACACACACACACACACACACACACACACACACACAGACACAACCACACACACACATACACTCGCGCGTACACATGCACACATGTACACACACACACAAACACACACACACATACATGCACACACACACACACACATTACACCTTCAAGCAGCCGAGCCCGTTGGCAACAGACCCAACACAATCAGGCATAAGTGCACCCACCAACCGAACTAGCTGGCACATACATACACACACTTACACACACACACACATACATACACACACACACACACACACACACACACACACACACACACACACACACACACACATACATACATACATACATACACACATATCACCACAAGCAACAGCAGGAGACCAGTAACAACAACAGCAGCTCCATCAGTAAGCCAGCAACAGGAACAGCACAAGTAACAGCAGTAGACCAGCAACAGCAACAGCCACACAATCAGTAAGCCAACAACAACAGTAGACCAGCAACAGCAGCGCCAGCACAACCACCAGTAGTAGGGCAGCCAGCAACAGCAACAGCAACAGCAGCACAAACAGTAAGCCAACAACAGCAGCAGCACAAGCACCAGCAATAGGGCAGCTACACCTGTAGTACTATCAACAGTACCAGCAGTCGGCCAGTAACAGCAACACCGGCGGCAGCAGCACCATCAACAAGAACAAACAAAACACATACTTTTGCATTTTGGGATATTTCATGTCGACCAGTCGGTTGGTGGCCTCCTGCTGCAAAGCGCGCAATGTTTCCGACCACACCAAGTCCACCCAATCCAAATGACGTACCTGCGTGCAACAACAACAACAGCAACAACAACAACAACATCTCTTATTGGCGATGGTGCCATCGTGAGAATAAAGAATTCAACAACAACAACAACAACAACAACAACAACAACAACAACAACAACAACAACAACAACAACAACAACAACAACAACAACAACAACAACAACAACAACAACAACAACAACAACAACAACAACAACAACAACAGCAACAGCAGCCGCAGCAAGCAAGCAGTAGGAAGAAGAAAAGACAAATGAGCAATTCCTACACGGTTGCGAATACATACTATACAGCTTGTGATGGGGCATTGATAAACCAATATAAACACATTGCACAAACCAATCAGGAATTAAAAATCCATACTTTCTCAAAACGAGCCTAAGCATGATTATGTATGACATGAGCCTCAAACGCCCACCAAACCCCCCAACACGGCATACAGGGGAGACAGTAGTGCAGTGGAGTGCTCAACTACAGTGCACTCATTTCTCACGACTCCTATCTGGACCTCCAAGTTACGGGCATCTTGGTGTACGGGGAACCCTGTGAGTGAGTTTTAGTGGATATATTACTACTTTTCTACCAATTTGTGGAAATACCAGGAGTGACGTAATATGCCAGATCTACGTGCCTTCCACGTCAAGATGTACATAATTACGAACATTTCCAAATGAATGGCAGAGCCCCCGGTCCTGGACCGCCCGGATACAACAGATAAGAGTGTACTACATGTAACGTTACATGCATAGGATTGATTGATTGCAGCCTATATCAATCATATCTTCTGAAAATTGTAGTCCAAGTTGCTGTCTGATGATCGGTTAAAACCGTGAAAGTCAGAGTTACAGCAGAAACGCTTTTGATCCTCTCAAGTGGATGTAGGATTGCTGACGTACCAGACTGGGTGACTCCACTAGAGGCTCCAACTTAGTCTTGGTGAACTCCAGGCTAATGACGTTGTAGAGTTTGTCACGTTTCGCATTCGTGTAGTACCTGCACAGGAGAGTACACGGCATGCGCCAAACACACACACACGCACACACACACACACACACACACACACGCACGCGTACACACACACACACACACACACACACACACGCACGCGTACACACACACACACACACACACACACACACACATAAACACACAATGTAGCTCCATGTCTCTTGGAACCTAAGAAAAAACCCAAAAGACACCATGCCACCAAGACTTGCACTGAAAGGCTTACTTTGTAAAGTTAGTTTGCCATGCTCATGGTGGAGCCTTGTTGTGAGGACACATCCATGATGTCAATAGTATGCCCACGCCTGCCCATCACCCAAAGACCCCCTAGCGATCTCACTGGCCCATTGCCCGCCATCCTCATGGCACCTCCACCCATCTGCTGTACACTGCCTCCCCATCGCCTCTTTCCGCGCTTTCATGCTCACACCTGCCTGTTGCCCGCCACCCTCCTGGCACTTATACTGTCGCGCCGTGGCCCGCGCCAGCTGTTCTCCCCATACCTTACACCAGATTTAGCGCTAAATTTGTTTATGCTTGTGGCCCTATGTATTTATAAGCATACTGACTCACTGTTAGGTAGACCCGAGTATCAGTTGTCTGATGATTGCCTAACGGCACGAAACTCAAGAGTAACAACCAACCTGAACGTCCTCCGCTGAGTCTGCTATGATTTGAAAACTCCGTATGGCGGAACCCAGATGCGCATGCAGTTTACGTAAGACTTTCCGTAGATCGACTACATTTTTTTAACTAACGTAATTACGTTATGCGCAACCTCTCTAATAAAGTACAGTGAGTGCTGGAAAATACTTCGACAACTGTGGACAGTCGGTTATAGGCGATTCACACGACAGCCACTTGCACGTTTTACGGCGAGTGATTTACGAGAAAAAGTGACTGTGTGGATTCACATGGCTGCACTCAACAGCGGGCACGTTTGCATTTTTGAATGATTCACCCACCAGTTGCCATGAGTATTTCAAATTGTCATAACACGTGTACAATAATTATCACGGTGAAAAGAGCCGTGTAAAAAATCAAGTCTTGTTTTGCGCTTTTTGCTGTAAATATAGTTTACTGCTTGCCGCAGAGGGGCTGAGGGCTAGACCCACAGGACACTTCTGATCATAACTCACTAGACCTAGTCTTTCTTAAACTTGCATTCAGTTTCGGCGGGGACAATACCCCCGACACACCACCAACACAATCTTTAACTGTCTTTGACGCCATCACAATATCTATGCAAACACGGCCTAACGGACAAAGTCAAACAAGCCGTGACCTGATGTTGACACAGCCTGGTCAGTATGGAGCTTGCATGTCGAGTCTGCAGTTAAGGAATTCATACCTCAAAAGTTGAAGCGAAATAACGTGAACAACAAACTGTGGTATACTAGTAATGCGGGAAAATCAATAAATTAGAAAAATGTCACGTTCGGAAATTTTATTGGGTGGTCATCCCGTTTGACTGTGCGAAGTAAAATTAAAACAACCAAATGGTTGGGTTGATCTGCACTGTGCAACCGATTCTCTCACCTTTCTTCCTCCAGCTATGCCTGTGACACCCTTTGTGAATCTGCGAAACACTAGTGGCAGGCCACGCGAAAATGAGAATGCGCGCAGCCAAGTTTAGGCCATCATCTCCTTCATCCATCATCCCGGCGGTAACTCCGCCCGTTCAATATCCAACACCAGTCCCCAGGAAAGAATAAGGCACGAGATTTCAAGTTCAAGGGCAAAGCTAAAGCCAATGAATGGCACTGATTTTTGGAATTGTCGAGTAAATAATCGACGGTCAGATTCGACACACACGTGACGTGACACAGTTTGGGTCGCGCTCGTGTGTCGCGCTTCGCATTTGCTGCAGCTCCGGATCTCCAGCGCGCCCATGATGAGTCTCGCGCGCGCGACAGGCTAGCCGCTTGCGACAAAAGTTGTCTTTTTTTACGAATTCTGTGACGTCATGTTTTGGAAGAATGTCCCAGCAGTCATTCGCGTAGTGCGAACAGTGCCAAGTGCCAACCCAGCCACGCCGAAAAACCCTCTTCGACAGGGGGGGGGGGGGGGACGCGATTTCACTTTCTGGCACTTGATCAAGTAAAAAAGTAATTACAGATGGCTCGAGCGCGAGCGCGCGCTCTGCTTCGGTGCAAAAAAACTTTAAAAAAGAGTTGATCAGTGATTGTGATTTCTTTTTGTAATTATTATGTACCGGTAGATGATATGAAGACACGATCGATACTCAGAATCCCTTGAGGACTGACGATGGCGGAGGATCACAAATTACCAGCGTCTCTCCTGAAGGCGCAGACACGATTGCGTGATGCAGTCAAGGATCGTGGTGTGCAGATCAGCGGGGGGTTAGGAACAGATAGGGAAATAGCTTTGAGCGAGCTCTTTGTCAATCTTACTCTGCTGACGAAGGATGAAGTAGAAACACTTTTCAAGAGCGAGTCGTTCTTTTCCTCCGAATCTGAGAGAGCACGCCAGCTAAATGCTATCAGAGCAGCTCAGGATGTAAAGTCCGAAAAGACACGTGGGATTGAGCTTAGCGAGATCTTCTCTGACACAGGTAGCGATAGTGCAAAGGACCAAGCAAGTGCCAGCGGAGTAGTTGATTTCGAATGTGGACTTCTGTCTCGTGCCGCTAGCAACGTGTCCATTGGAGTGAAAAAGAATAACGTGCTTGCGTTTGGCAGTGCGGGCAGTGGCAAATCTACAATCTTCCTTCTCATGCTGGAATACCTGTGGGCTATAGATTCGCTGTTGAAGGAGAAGATTGATCTTGTCTTGGCCGTTGAGTTACGACGTGCTGAGGTGCGATCTGCAACTAGCCTGTGTGAGTTGCTGGCTGCTCGATTCGACAGGTTGGACATGGAACAAGATGAGCTGGAGGAGATAGCTCGCTACTTTCGCCGTCATCCGTCACGTCTCTGTGTTGTGCTTGACGGCATGGACGAATGCAGCCTGGAGAAATGTAGCCCGTACATGCAAGACATGCTGTTGAGGGAACGCAGTGTTGATATGCATGTGGTGGTCACATCTCGACCATGCGCCGATGCGTACAAGTTAAGCCAATGTGGAAAGTACCATCAACAACTAGAGGTTATCGGATTCTCACAAGAGAACGTGAAGACGTACGTGAGAAAAGTGGTGGGCGGAAAACAAGCGGAGGAGATGCTGGAGAAGCTGCATGCACAGCCGGACATGCTAGCATTGATGGGAACTCCATTATTTGCTGCTCTGGCATGTGAGCTGTACCACAGCGGACGTGGCTTGGCGAAATCGAGCACAGCATTGTACGAGTCGCTACTTCTACGTGTCTTGGAGCGGAATGCAGGCAAATTGCACAAGTCGTTTGCCAGGACGGATGCACGGGAGATGGAGTTGCTGTACGAGGTCTCCCGCTTCGCACTTGCAATGTTGTCGGAGCAAAAGGCCGTGTTCAGCGAGTCGGAAGTGAAAAGCGCCGGTCTAAGTGATGCCGCTCTTCAGCTTGGACTCCTAATTGCTTACAAAGACGGCAGCTCGACTGAGAACCGACAGTACCGCTTCGCTCACCTGTCCCTCCAGGAGTTCATGTCGGCATGGTATCTGTCACGCGAAGTGCTGAAGGACGAGCATGACGCGGCATGGCTGGTGAAGAGAGTCGGTCATTACAGTGGTCACATGACAATGTTCTGGCGCTTCGTCATTACACTATTACCGCGCAAACCCTCGTTCGTCGTCATAGAGCATCTCTGGCGGCTAATCTGTGAGAAGCGTACATCGTCGACATCGGACACTGCCAACTCTCGTCTCGTGGCTGACATTGTCAGCTACTCCCATCGCAGGTCTGCACGTCCGGGTCTTGAAAGGATGCAGTCCACGCTTCGTGCAACGCTAACGTATGAGAAAATGAAAGAACTGGCCTATAAGCTGCTGGACGAGACTTGCGGTGAGGGCAACGGCTGCCAACGTGTCGAGAGCGCCTTGCCACGGGGGAGAGAGTTGACGGATGAACTATTTCTGTCAACTCTCATCGACGTGTGGAAGAAGGAGGCAGTGGATCCCAACACGGAAGTATTCCTCGCTGCTGTGCGCAACGTCAATCTCGTCGCGGCATTGCAATGCGAGCGTATGATGCGTCCGAGCACCAAGACACCGGACCCGTCATCCACCGAGGTCGCTACTGCTACTGCTATGCCTGCAGTTCGTCCAGCGGAGTCGACCGAGGAACGGCGCTATCTGGTTCATCTTCTGGTGGCTCATCATGAACACTGCCGGTATCAAGGTGCGTCCTGTGATGGTCATTGTTCATTCTTTTCACAAGTGTTTCACAAAGGCATTAGCTTTTCCAAAGTAAGCCTATCTCTTTTTGATTGTGTATCTATTGGGCACTTTCTCAGCACACATTATTGCTTTGATAGCAGTACCATCGATATTCATGATTCTGGCTGTGGAAATGCTGGTCTGCGAAGCGTTGCTGCTGGTCTGTCGCACTGCAAGGGTGTACGCACGCTAGATCTTAGCTGGAATACATGTGGCGATGGCAGTATACTGTCGTTCATCATTCAGTCTTTGTCAGGCAGTCTAGTGTATGTCGATGTGAGTGGTAATTATCGTGTAGGTAGTGATGGTGTTGTATCAGTGTGTAAAGCATTGTCTACTTGTTCTAAGCTGAGTGTAGCCTATGTGCCCTCTGGTATACGTGTAGGTGTACATGTACCTGTAGGTGTTGTCTCACTGTCATGTGTTAGTGAAGTTGTTGAGTCATGCCCTAACCTGTGTCAGCTGGTTGCAAAGTTGTGTCGTTTCCAGTATGATGATGATTGTTTGGAAAGGTTTGTCAGAGCTGTTCAGTCTCATGCTGTGTTGCATACACTACAAGTTTCACAGCATCTTCCTGAGAATGCCAGACTGGTATCCCGGCTTGAGCAGCTTATCCGTGACCCTACCTGTACCCTGTCCTGACTTGGGTGATGGTGATGACTGTGTTAGTAGTTTGTGTACATTATGTGAGCGTGTAGATGATCAGTTTCCTGATTCGTCTCTTGAGCACAGACCAGCAGCAGCAGCAGCAGCAGCAGCAGCAAAGCCTAGACCAGTTCTTTTTTTCTACCTATCTAATGTACATAGAGAAGACACTACTGTCGTCAAACTTGAATTTTCATTTTTCTATTGATTGAAATAATTTCCATGTCTATACCCCACTCTCGTAGTACAACCACTGTAGAGAATACATTGTATTTTTTCTTAGTAGCTCTGCTTATAACAATCTCTTTTCCCCCAGAGTGTGTGTTTTTTCTTGAATATTTTTGCTGTTCATGAACTCGTATCTGGCTGACTAATCACGGCCAAGTTGTAATAATTATTCTAATGTACAAATGTAATACCAACCCCAGGTCGAATCTCGTGACGATCAAATGTGCTGAGCCTGTCTATGATATGTTGTGATACCGGACTGTGTGTGTGCGTGCGTGCATGCGCGCGCACACGCGCGCGTGTGTGTGCGTGTGCGTGCGCGCGCGCGAGCAAGTGAGTGGCCAGGAAAAGCCGCTTCAATCAGCTGTGTTTGTGGACACTAGGCTAAAATCCGTGGCGGTCAATTCATAAGCCTTGTGAGCTGTTGAATGGTGTAGTCGCAGCACAAGTTGCTATGGATAACATAGCTGTTCGCTATCATCGCTTCCGCGATGGGCAGGTCTGAGGTGATGTGTGATGTGATGTGATGTGTGTGTGTGTGTGTGTGTGTGTGTGTGTGTGTGTGTGTGTGTACATGAGCGAGCGTGTCTGTTGGGGGTCGGGTGAAGTGTGTGCGTGTGTGTGTGTGTGCGTGTATATTGTGTGTCCCATATGGTGCAATGGTATGTGCAGCGATTTCCAATCGAGAGGTTGCGGGATTAATTCCCGACGATTATGGTCAAACACGTCTTTCTTCTCTTTCTCAGACTCCTGACTTTTCTTTCATTCTCCTGGGCGGTTACCAACAGCCAGTGCATACCAGAGTATGTGGCGTGATGTATGTGCGGGAAAAAAATGAATAAAGACCGCAAGTAGGGATTAACTTGCCAGAAAAAAGCCACTTAATAGCTGTGTGGTGTAGGCCAGGCTGAGTAGTGACGGTTAATTCTTCAGCCTTGCAAACTGTTGAATGGTGCAATCCCAGAACAAGTTGCTATGGCTACTGCTGTATGGGCGTCAAATGGTCAAATGATATGTGTGTGCGTGTGTGTGTGTGTGGCGTGTGTGTGTGCGTGTGTGTGTGTGTGGCGTGTGTGTGTGTGTGTGTGTGCGTGTGTGTGTGTGTGTGTGTGTGTGGCGTGTGTGTGTGTTTTTGGGTGTGTTTGTGCGTGTGTGTGTGTGTGCGTGTGTGCGTGTGTGTGTGTGTGTGGCGTGTGTGTGTGCGTGTGTGTGTGTGTGTGTGTGTGTGTGTGTGGCGTGTGTGTGCGTGTGTGTGTGTGTGTGTGTGTGTGTGGCGTGTGTGTGTGTTTGTGTGTGTGTGGCGTGTGTGTGTGTGGCGTGTGTGTGTGTGTGTGTGTGTGTGTGTGTGTGTGGCGTGTATGTGTGTGTGCGTGTGTGTGTATGTATGTGTGTGCGTGTGTGTGTGTGTGTGTGTGTGTGTGGCGTGTGTGTGTGTGTGTGCGTGTGTGTGTGTGTGTGTGGCGTGTGTGTGTGTGTGTGTGCGTGTGTGTGTGTGGCGTGTGTGTGCGTGTGTGCGTGTGTGTGTGTGTGTGTGTGGCGTGTGTGTGTGTGTGTGTGTGTGTGGCGTGTGTGTGTGTGTTTGTGTGTGTGTGGCGTGTGTGTGTGTGTGGCGTGTG